GGCCAGTCTGAAATTCAGCTAGAAGCATCTGCCGAAAAACCGATGCCGGTAGCAACAAAAACCTGCAGCGAACTCTGCAAAAAACGCATCTTCGCACGGGCAGCCCATGCGTTGGCCATTTATTTGTTTTATTTTCCTTAGTTTTTGCGATTGACGTTTGGTCAATCGTTATGCAGCTTTCAGGGTTCTGGCAATGAAAGCGTCGAATGATTTCCTTTTCATGCTGGACGGCGATGTTCAACTGATAGTGCCGGAAACGTTACGATTATTGGTTCAGACTGCAGCCACTGCAAAACTGTATAATTTTTCGAAATCCGTTGTTTCTGGGCTAGCTACAATAGAATGATAAATTTCCCCCGCATTGTGCAAAAAGAAAAGTAGGATTATGGTGTTCTAGAATGGGAGTCTCTCAGTGATTTCCAAAGCGTTTAAGAGGTACTATAACAAAGGTTTTAGCACTGAACTTCAACACGATTTGACAGATTTATTCACTGACTAGGACATCTATGCATGCCATGCGTTTGTTATACTCACATCAGTTCCGATACAGCCGGGCTGCTTTTCCGAATGGGTCATCTCAGAATGAGTGAGATATAGAGAAAGTTTTAATTTCCGACATTAAGTGAAATATGTGGATTGACTTTGTATGTCTCTAAATGATGTACGAGCTTTATCAAATCATCTTAAAGGAGTTTAATTCATTTTCACCGTGAAATCTGAAGTTTTTTTCTTCTCCTTAATGCATAAAGATTTGCCTTTTCAGGGGTGTTCTAGCTCCTTTGGTAACCATGGGCGGCAAACTGTTTTCAAACTTCTGGGGTGCGTTGGGCGCCAACGGATATTATGCACGTTCGGAAGATTATGTTGAGATCGTAGACGGAAAACGAGTTGGCATATGGAATGTCCCATTCATTAACGGAGCACTGCTTATCAGTAAAGAAAAGGTTAGACCGAAAATGACATTAAAGTATATTTGTGTTTGTCTTGCTGGGGTCTTATGGGAAGAGTGTTGAAGAAGCCTTCAAAAAAGAATATAGCTAATGCAGGAGTTTAGAAATCTATTATTTTATATACATTTTTATAATTTCAAATTTTTCCGGCTATTTTCGACTATCTCT